CTGTTCTGTTGACTTTAGCTTTTAGCTTCTGTTCTGTTGACTTTAGCATATAGCTGCTGTTCTGTTGACTAGCTTTTAGCTACTGTTCTGTTGGCTTAAGCTTAGCTACAGTTATACTAATTTTAGCCTTTATTTGCTGTTTTTGCTTTAGATTTTAGCTACTGTTTTGCTAGTTCTTGCTTTTTCGGGTAGTTACTATTCTGCTGATATTAGCTTTTGGCTACTGTTTTAGTAAATTTTGGCTTCTATCTTCTGTGTTGGTAATTTAAATTTTTGGCTACTTTCCTGCTAGATTTAGTTTTTAGCCTTTGTTTAGCTAACCTTTAGCTGTTGTTCTGATTGTTTAACGTTCGTTGACTCGGTTTTGGTTTCTTTAACAAATGTAAACGAACCCGTCCATCCCGCTGCGCTCAGACTGAACATCTTTCAGCTTTGAAGCCAGGTGCATTCTGGGAAAACAGCCAGGCGGTTCTGAGCGAACCTTCTCACCTGACTTCATTTAAAGATCTACTCATTTTTTAACGTTTTTATTCTGAACTGTAATTTCAGCTGTCATGGAGAGCGAGTGGCAAGATGAGGGCGGAGCCAAAATTGAGGTGAACACGGAGGAGGTGGAGCTAAAAGAGGAGACATCGCACAATAATCTGAAAGGTACGTAGCCGACCCGCCTCCCAACAGAACCTGGTTTAACTCAGCTAAAGGTAAACGTGAACTCCTCCTCTTCATCAGCGATCAACGGCGTGACAGAGGGAGCCGAGGAGGTGACGAGTCGAGGAGAAACGCTGCCGAACGGAGACCGAGGGGGAGGAGACCTGTCCTCCATCAACGCCATGATGTCAACGGTGATGTCGGCCGCCGGGACCCTAAACGGAGGTGGAGGAGGAGATGAAGGAGGGAGTGGAGGAACTTCAGCCAACTCCTCAGCTGGCCCCTCCCCCAGGTGGCTAAAGATGTTCAACAGCTAAAATTCAGAAAATTATCAGCTTCTTAAATATCAGCTGCAATTTCTTTTTGTTTTAAATTCAAATATTTGACTTCAGATAAAAAGCATAAATAATAATAAAAATAATATAATGATTATTATAATTATCATTCAGTGTCTTTAGATTTAAATTGTTTTGTTTTCTTCTTGAAGCCCTTCACCCAACAAATCTCTGACCTCCGCCATGAGAGCCCCGCCCGGTCGCAACGCCCGACGCAGCCAGGTACAGAACCCAAACGCACCTTTGGACCTCACACAGTTCCTCTCTTGGTTCTGTCCCGACCCGGCGGTACCGCTGTCCTCCCCGTGGCTCCTTGCTGTGTCATGCTTCCTGTGGCTCCAACAGGAAACAGGAAGTTCTGCCTCAGAAGAGGACATGAGCAGCTTGTGGAGTTTGTTCCTCAAAGATCAGGGCAGCTCTGAGGTCTGCAGGCAGGACCTTCATGGTCCAGGTCTCGAGTCCAGATCAGGGTTTAGGTCCCCATTTTGGACGTTAAAGTAGCGGGTCCTCGTTTAAATATGAGGACAAAAACGCGCGCGCGCGTGTGTGTGCTGGAATGACTCGTCCTCAGTTTGACCTGAAGACTTGTCTTCAGGTCAAACTGAGGACGAGTCCCAGACAGGACACTCCTCCAAGTCCTGGTCTCTGGGCTCAGGTCATTCCAGCCGGCCTGGGATATTACATTACCCATGAGCCTCGGCGGCAGAGCCTCAGAACTGATTGATCAGCTTCAGTTCGAACGTGGACTCAAATCTTTGAGAGGTGCATCCTGGGAGTTGTGGTTCTTTAATTTCTGGATGTTTTTAATCTTTCAATCTGTTGAAGCTGCAGAACACGTGAAAGATGTTTTTGTTGTTCGGCTCAGGAAACCAAAGACGACAGCTCGGCCTTCATCTGTCCTCTGTGCGATAAGAACTGTCAGACCCAGCACCAGCTCACCATGCACATCCGGCAGGTAAGACCTTTACTACTCCACCTGTGAGCCTCTGAGCGAGCCGACACACCTGAACGCTGTCGTCCTCGCAGCACAACACCGACGCCGGCGCCACGGACCACTCGTGCAGCATCTGCGGGAAGTGCCTGAGCTCGGCGTCGTCGCTCGACAGACACATGCTGGTCCACAGCGGGGAGCGGCCGTACAGGTGCAGCATCTGTGGACAGACCTTCACCACCAATGGCAACATGCACAGGTGAGCCACACCCACCACACCTGTCCAGTCACAGCGCACACAGGAAGTCACTGCAGAGATTTAACTCCTTCAGGGTTTACCAACCACTGGCGATCATGTTGGATGTAGAGCCATCCGGCAGCCATGTTGAATGTAGAACCATCTGGTGGCCATGTTGGATGTAGAGCCATCCGGTGG